AGATATTTATAAACACTCTTTCTCATTAAATCACTAAAACGTTTTTTCAAGAATAAAACCATGATGACCCAACGAGCGCTAAAATGGACAATATCTTGGATGTAGTGATCATAACGATGACAATGGACTTACTGTCGAAACATTGGCGCTAGAAAGATATATAGCCTAAGCCACTCTTGTTCCTTAGCATCAATTGGGGGGCTTGTTTTGATATGCCTAAAAAATTTCACACTGATTAGGAGTTGATGTTAAGAGTAGTTTATAAACATCTTCTTTTCTTAATCCACCGAGACATCTTTTCAAGGACAAAATCGTGACGATTTACACTAGAAATATAATGTAATAATGCATAAAAAGAATGTTACCATATTAATACATAATATAAAATAAAAAGGACTTTTAAAAAATTGAAAATAACTACATAATAATTTAAAAACCAAAAAAAGTGTAAAAAAAATGAAAAATTAGTTAAAATATTATATATGATATGGATAATAAAGTTTTTATTTTGTAAATAATAAAAATATTGTATTGTTATTTATGAAAATAAGAATATTGATCACTTAATTTTAAATAATTTTTTGTCTTTTAACACTCTTTATTATTAGTTAAAATTTATTAAAATCACACATTTTAGTAACACCACTTTTTACTAAAGATAAGAGAAGTTAATAATCCTATAATTAAGAACTTAGAAAAGAGAAGTAGCATAAAAAAACAATTCTAGATAAGAGAAAACGGAATCAAGAAATCATGACTCCATGAGAGGGTGAAAAGATTTACCTAAGATGAATGGAGAGGAGGTTGGGGTTGAGAATGAATGTGGTTTCACCTTTGGAGATTTTTCAAATAGAGGTTATTAGGTTAGAAGTTAGGTTTTCAACGTGGTGAATGAGCTCATCATACAAGAGGCAGTAGCCAATGGCAACATCAATGAGGTAATTGGTTGCCACGAATATGGTAGTGACTTGAGATTGCAAAAGGTTTTGTTCTTTCCAAATTAACATACACGAGAAAATAAACATGAGAGTCACAGAGTGCGAGATTTTTAACAGAATTAAAAAGACAAAAAAAAATTATTGTAACTAAGAGCTTTTACCTATACTAATTAATAGTAAGTAGAAATTATGCCTACACTAAATTAAAACTGTCACTATAGAGGTGTGTGGATACAAGTGAATTTTTTTTAAATGTGTTCTTTGACAAGGATATTGTTATGTGATTAAGAAGATATTAGTTGCCCAAAATGATGTTAAATTTAAAACTACAAATTACAAATTCAAGCTTAATTTCATTAATGATATTATTTGTTCAAAAGTAGAGACAATTCACATATTATCACACTTCATAATTCTTAAACACAATTACTGCTTCTAGGCTTTCAAATTATATTTTAAAGTTAAAAGTTGGAATTCCAATTATATTGTTGAGAAACATTGGTCAATCATCGGGATTATATAATGGTACTAGATTAATCATCACAAAGATGAAAAAGTATGTTCTAAAAAGCAAAGTTTTATCTGAAAGCAAAATTGGTGTAAAGATATTTATTCTTAGATTTACATTAACTCTTTCTATGCAAAGATTCCTTTCAAATTCCAATGTAAGCATTTTTTATTATTTCTTTTGCAATGATTATCAATAAAAGTTAAAGTCAATTTTTAATACATGTTATTACAATATTTTTGACGCAACAAGTTTTTTCACATGTTCAGGTATATATACTTATTTTGATTACTTATTAACCATTAATGTTTTAGAATGTTTTTCACAATAAATATTAAGTAATGTCTATCTTCACTCTAATATATTTATTGTCACTCTTATTTAAAATTTATGCATTATCCCTCTAAATTATTAATTTAATCCATAAATAGAAAGGGTATTTTAGATAAAATAAGTAAATAGATAAGAATAGATACACACGAGAGCAGTCATAAAACACTCCAAAGTATTAAGTTCATTAATTGATGCTGTCGCTCATGACTGATATAAAATATTACGTAACTCTTGGATTTGAACTTATGAATAAAGATTTAACTTCATGAAGACAATCGATATAATGAAATAACTGACAACAACAATGATATCGTCTTGAAAGGTTAAATGATGATTTATATCGAAAAAGATTAAGTGACGATAAATATAGATACAGAGGGGCTTGCATAAGCCATAGATTGTTAGTTGCTTAATTAATTGAAATCATAGATATAAATATTGAGTGATAAGTTGAAGATGACGTATAGAGGATTGGAAAAGGCGTTTAGGTAGGTATCTAAGGTTGAGACAAAAAGTTGAAGGCTCTATAAAATTTGTGATTATTATTCAATTATTGATGTAAACATATATATACCATTAAAGAGAGTGGCTGGACTAACCCCACACTAAAACGCAATACTTAATTAAAGTAGCCTAGGTTTAAACGAAATAGAGAACAAAGTAACTATACATATAAAACAACGATGTCCCATTCCATTTAATTGTTACTATATATATATATTTTATGTCGGACAAGTGGTTAAAAATTTAGATTTAACTTTCACTTATTAGGTTTAATTATTTGTGAAACTATTAAAATCTCGTTTGATGAATAGTTTCTTTCGGATAAATTTCTAACGCTTAGTCAATGATCGACCCTCCTAAAAAAACTTTTATTACCTTAGGCTAGTGAAGTCGTTATGATCGAGTAAAATTGTTTGATTTAAGTTTAGTAATTCTTTAGATAAATATTTGCTTATGATCACAACATGTCATTAATATTCTATCAGTAGTATTAAAGAGTTGTTTTTTCGATCACTTTTTATTATAAAAAAATCATCTTATTATAATCTGTTCACGTGGCAAACATTAATGTAATAACCTCTTTTTATGAAATTACTTTGCCAACCCATTGATTAAATATGATTCAGTGGCTGTCTGATCTTTATACTTTTGTTATTATCCCAACATAGTGCACTCTTGTTCATCATTTTATTTGTTCCAAAAACAGGAAAAAAAAATTGTTTATCTCCATTGAGCTGTCGTAGAATATTCATATTTTTAAATATCATTAGCCACTATACATTTTCAGTTAAGAAAGTTGGATGTCATCATCAAAATCATTATTAATTAAACGGAAAATTAATAACATTGCAAATAAAAGTGTCTAAGATACTATTATCAATGAAAAGAAGAAAAAAATTTCAATATTAGAGATAAGGTTACAATAAAACATATAAGTAAAGAATAATTTTTATTTTATAAATCGATTTTATAAAATTGAATTAGATTTATAATTTATATTTTAAATTAATATCTCTTAAATTCATTAAAAAAGATGTTACTTATTATTTATATAAAAATTAAATAATTACAATAAAATATATAAATGAGATGCAACTCTCATTTTATATGTCAATTTTATAAAATTTATAAGTCAGTTTTAAAAAATTTGAGTTAGGCACGTGTGAGTTATATATAGTTGTATGATGCCTGTATCATACTAACATGGTGGCAATTTTATATTTAATAGTTTGTGATTTCCTTCTATTTATGGTTATTACTTGTAATCAGAAATTAGAATATATGACGCGTACATGAATTTTCTAGACATCAAAACTAGAGGGATAGAAGTAAGAATAATTCTTTGACATGATGTCACTGATGGTTCTTTTCTTATGCCATTACTGTACTCTTGCTCAATAATTGAAGAAATGAATATATCATTTGCTGTATTCCAAATGTACCTATCCCAATTAAGCTGTTGAACAGGTTTACGCCTCTAAATTTTATCAGTCACAAACAAGTTTAGCAAAAGATAGAGGGATACTTCTTTAACACTTTATATTACATTCTCGGTTGTGAATTACGCCTAAATTTCATTACTTTATTTAGTGGAACTACATGCAATGCAGCACTTGATAAATAAAAAATGTGTTAAAATTAAAGAGGCTTAAAAGGAAGAGTAATGATCCTCTGAATCCCCTTTGTGGGGTGTGACTTGGGAGATGGATGTGGGGAAGAAAGAAAATGAGAGATTGGATGAATAATGTAATGGAAAGGGATAGTGAAAGTAAAAGGATAGTAAGAAAAAGACATGAGAAAATCAGAATTGTAACAAATGTGTGCTAATATTTATGTAAATCACCATCAGAATATATTTATGCGATAAATGCAACAAGGAGTTTTATATTTTACGATTAACATTGCACTAAAAGCTGGTTTGTTTTACAAGTTACTGCAAACCCACGTTACGTAGAAGGAAGAATTAGTTTTCCTTCCTTCCAACTCTCTCGCGAAGTGTTAATTATTTGCCTTATGTTATATCAGTTAGATGATTCGTGGTTGTATCCATTGGTTAAAATGTAAAACAAACATGTAATGAATAGTTTACAAAGCTATATATATCAACTCATAAATCTGGACTAGTTTACACTGGTTCAACCCCATTTATAGCAAGTCCTAACCAGTTAATCAATCGGGCTACGTTAATTGGTCACTACATTGATTCATAGTTAAATTGGCCTATTCACCTGACTTCAATAAATCTCTTTTCACTATGACAATTCTTAGATTGTGATCACGTTATCCGTACAAAACTGACAAAACATGCAATTTCATATTCTCTTATTGGTATTGAAGTTTCACTTCATTAATTAATCTATATTGACTTTTAATACACATTACCAAAATGAAACTCTAATTCTTATCAATAATGAAACCCATCAGAGATAAAACTCGTATTTGATCTGAAAACAAACCTGAAACCACTTGTTAAACCCCATCTAAGTTTTTTTTTTCAAAAATAAATTCTAGTCTATGGTACTGTCAATAATGGAGGGGCAAACAAAAGAAACTAGCACAAGAAGCCTTTGTTCCTTTTACAATAAACAGATAACCTTAAATTCAGGAATTGAACAGAATAGAGGCAATATAAGTCAAATGTGAGAAATATATGTGTATATACACACACAAACTCCAAGCTAGTTTGTGTCCTAGTTATTTTGTAGCAGCAACCAACAAGGCTATTGATATACATATAAGATTATTTCCGTTGAGTCATTTTATGAGGATCATGATGACCACCACAAAGCACAAGAAATAATGAATTCCCTAAGCTACTTAATTTCTGCACAGTCTTGAAACAACTAACAAGGCAAGAGATCATCCCCAAAGAGATAGAGAAGTCTCTCCACAGCCCAGCTAGGCTGAGGAGGAGGCACACATGAGGCAGAGCTGTGATGGCAACATGAAGTGAGCAAAGGAGCCCTACAAAGTGGACAAGTAGGGTTGTGATTCTCATGCTCATGATCCAACCATTTGTCTATGCACTCTCTGTGGAACACATGGTAACAGTTCAGGAGCTCCCTAACCTCATCCTCCTTGTTGAACTGGCTCAAGCAAACGGCACACGTGTCCTCCGTTTGTGGCAGCCTCTCTATGATCTCGCCAAAGGTTGTCAACACAAGAGTGTTGTCCTTGCAACTTGTCATAGGACAAGGCTCATGTGCGGTGTCATCAGAGCTTGTTGTTCTTCTGTCGTTGATCAGTCTCAAGACCAAGCAAAAGACCCATCTCACAACTGCTATGATGAGGGCTACTTCGTATATGGCTTGGCCTAGTGTCAAGCCAGAGAGAGGGTCTTCAGCGTAGAACCCCATTGGAAGGTGTCAAGGATGATGGAGTGTTGAGAGAGGGAGAGAGGGAAAAGGGGGAAGTTCTAATGAGTTCTATGGCTTCTTTATAAAGCAAACCAAGGGAGTGGTGGTGTGGTGGAGGCTACTATGCCTCTTTTTCTTTCCTTTTACTTTCACTCTCTTCTACGTTCTTTCTTGCTTTGCTTTTACATGTTATCTTTGTTATTTTATTGTTTTGTTAAATGTTTATCCACCGTCCTTTTGTAAATAGGAATAAAGGGTCACCGACTGGTCGTTGAGACTCTTCCGCGTGTGATTAGGGGCCAGTGTGATGGAGGGGTTAACGCATGGAATTTTTCTTTATCAAACGGGATCATTACAGCTAGTACAGTTGGATCATCTGGTATAATAATGGATCTTGATATTCTATTAATTATTATTTACTCTGTTTTTAGATATTAGTATCTTAATGAATTACAATTTTTTAATGGTAGGTATTTTTGGAGTAAAAGGATGTGAAGGAAAAAAGAGCGAAAAGAAAGCACATATGAAATACTTATTTTAATGTAGCAAACCAACTCATCGTGCTTGCAAGTTGGAAGCCCATTTAAACATTATGTGCACTCTAATGTGATTTTGATCGACTGTTTTAAACTTTAATAAAATTCTTGCTTAATGAACTTTTCGTTGCCAACAATTTCGCGTTTAATTTGATTCAGTTGTTAAAATAATTAGATTTGTTAGGTGGAAGATAAAGGGTGCAATAAGCCAGGTTGCTTTTTCACATGATCACACGACGTCATATGGCCCCATTGCATGTGTTGATTCCTAACATCCTAGTCAGATCCAACCTATGCACAGTTCATTGCCACAATTTGGTTGAGAAGTACGATGAACATGACAACATGAAAGGGTGCGCTTGAGTGGAGAAGCGAAAGTGACCGAATACGCCACAAAGGAGAATATCACAATCAATTTTGAGTCATTGCTTGCAACATAAGAGAGAAGAAATGACCGGGAATATGTCACAAAGGAGAATATCAAAATCAGTTTTATGAGTCATTGCTTGCAACATAAGAGAGAAGAAATGACCGGGACATGAAATGGGATTGTCATACCACATCATTCTTAAACCCCTTTTAATTTAGAGTTCAACATTTATGACTGCATGAGGTGGAAGTAAGTAAGACAGCTCAGCTCAACAACAAAGAGATGCATACTAAAAAATGCTCTTATGTCATAAAACAAAGAAATTTACAAACAAGATGCTGCCTAAGTTGCGTGGCTAACAAAGATGTGTCTTATATAGGTCAGCATACTTGGTCTGCCATTTCAGAAAGATGAATTGAAGTCCATTCTCTGTCACAATTATACAGAAGCAGAAATTTTTTGTTCCGGTAACAGAGAACTTTTAGGGGGCGGTAATATTTGAAGCTCTCTTCGGGAAACTGCATAAAAAAATTACTCATAAAAGTAATATATTATTCAATTTCTTTGGATCGGTCCACCTTCTTCCATCTTCTTTCGCATTTTGTATTGCAAGGTAGCTGGTGCACAATCTAAAGGTGTTTCTCCTGAACATAAAACAGTTAGTTAGGATTTGCATTCAAGAATTTTGCTGTTTTTAATATTTTTTTTAAGATCTCTCTTTGTACTACTGCACAAGAGCAATAGAAAAAACTACCGTAATTGGCTGAATTCTAAGAAGGGAAAAGATTAATTGCCTTGTGCATTCTTGTACTCCAGGCTTGCCCCCGAATCCATGAGAATGAAAACTATATCTGTTTGATTGAAGACTGCAGCCTGCAGAGAATATTAAAATTGATTACCACCATTCGATTAAGAAAAAAGAATTACATCCGTGCTAGCACAGTCATGAGCACAAACAAGCAAAAGAGTGAGAGAGGTACCAAATGTAATAAAGACAGTCCTTGCTTGTCCCTGTAATTTGCATCCACACCCTGCACATTTTAGAATCCGATGAATATTACTTCCAAAAAAATGACATATGAAGGGTAAGTGTCTAATTTGAAAGGGGCGAACCTCATTAAGAAGTTTCTTAACAGCCGCAATGTCACCATTCTTTATTGCTTCTCTCAAACCCTGAGTGTCACAATTAATTCAACATACGACTTTCAACACCCAAGATCTTTTTGCACAATGAATACAATACAAGTAATTGTTTAAACTTAAAAAAGAGAAACATTTACCTCTCCATTTACTTCATAATCAATCTGGGGTCTGTCTGAGGTGCCATTTGTTACATGACCAGCATTAAACATAGAACTGTAAATTTAAACTATCAAATGATGATACAATACAGTGTGCAATAGAAATATTAAGTCGTGAATTAGTGGCAAACAGCTTAAGAGCTTAAACAAAATGAGACTCATGATTACTTTATAAATTTACAATATCTTAAAGAAAAGTCAGCACACTGATAAACCAAATATTTCAGAATAGAAGAATAACAACCAACCATCATGGTGTCTATGGCTGGATTATAAAGTCAGTCAAGAATATTTAGACACAAATCCCCCCCTTAATTTTGTAGGAATTGCTTGCTTTCTTGGCTTACGGTTTCAGGTGATGGGACAGGGAAAATGTTATAACTTCATTGTTACCATCTTAGCTGGGGCATACATAATATTGTTAAGTCTCATTTATACTTATTTTTAGATATGAATTATTGAACAATTCCACTCACCCCACGCACTCTTGCAATATAATTGTTCTCTTTTGATTCAATTTTGTGCAGATATAGTTAACCCAAAATTCATCTGACAATATCCTGATACACCTCAATTTTTGTGCAGGTATTGAGTTGAAGAGTTGAGGTTGAAGACCCATTGGATTGGAACTTGAAAGAGCTAAGGAGCAGGAGAAGTAGTATCACGCCGGGCACAAGAGTACCCGCGTCGGGCGTGCCTCGAGAAAAAGAGTAACTAACTCTCTGGAAGACACTGTGTCGGGCACGAAGTATAACGCGCCGGGCGTGTAAACCCTATCTTGACTCATCCAGCTCGTATTTGATCAAATCTTCAAGGCTTCCTTCCTCATTCACAAATAGAGCGACTTCTAGGAGCTGTGGAAGGGATTCCCGGTGCTTGGGACCGTGTTGTGTGTGGATCTTTCCTTCGATTCTTCTATCTTCTCTTCCATCTCTATTTTTGTTTCACCATCATTGTTTTGAGCGGTTTTACCCAATATTTTGTGGGATTAGATGTAACCAACTGAACTCTTGTGTAATCTTCATCTTATCAATGATATATGCTTATTTCATTCATTGTTGTGTTATGTTTCTATTATTAATGCTTGCTTTGGATTGATTCTCCTTTGCTTGATATAGAGTCCATTGGGTATTAGAAAATAACCTTTGAAACTAGCTCTGAAACAAAATACCTAGTGGGAAATGTATCTAGGAATGGAGCTTGACCCATTAGTAGTCTTAAACCCTAACCCGTAATGCAGGTTTATGTATTGGATACTCAAGGGATTGATATTCAATATATGCACCTAGGCTCTTGCTCTAAGGGATTAGGTTTAAGTAGACTTATGGGTTGACTGGGCAATGAATGCAATAAGAGAACAGTGATCCATTAGACAATCTCACAAATTCACAACATCATTTTCTATCCCTTCCACACACACAAATAGTTTTCTAGATTTAAAATTCCAATGAATCATAACCTTTGTTTTAATTGCATGACAACCTATAAAAAATTTGGAATTATTCTTTAGTCATGAATAGTCATTAAATGCTTATTTTACCTAATTATTTCATGTGGATACAATTTGAATTTACTACTTGTATGACCAGTATACTTGTCGTGTTTGAGTCCGTTGTTAGAATTAAAATGATTTATAACAAAAACAAAAGTTAATTTTAACGAAAACTCAACAAATATGCAACAATATATTTCAGGTCAACTAGAAATTCAATTTCACTCGAAGCAAGAACTCCTATTCTTCTAATGCTGATGAGCTTCTAAAATTTTGCAATGGTATAGGAACAAGACACGACAATGGAACTCCATATTTCCATATTTACTCTTAAGTTATCATTGCCCTCAATGGAAACAACTACCTATCGAAACCATGCACTAACTACAAAGACTGGGTAAAAATATACATATTTCCGGCAATAACAGATATTAGTTAATCAGTCCTTACTTAAATTTGCTAGTTGAACTGGAGGTTCTATTTTTCGGAACAGCATCTGTCTTCTTAGGTTTAGGATTTGATGGAGCTGCAATGACTGGATTGGGTTTCTTCTGTCACAAAAGATAAACAGAAAAAACATGAGTTTGTGGATTGCCAAAAAATAAATAAATAAATAAGTAGGTGATATTAACAATTATTACCTGCTCAGGGAGTGCACCAGAGGAAGGGGCTGGTGCTTCACAAATGCAAAGTGGCATTCCACATTTACACTCTCTAATGCTTGATACAACCATATTCTCTCCAGTTGGTATGGACTTTGAATCAGCATTTGCATTAATGTCTAATTTAGAAATTGTATCTGTCGCACTGTTTACTCCATCTGAAGAAGTCTGTGGTACATCCTTCCCAGACCTGTGCCAAAGAGAAGATGTAATGTATAAACAATTCCTAGATAATATCAAATATCATGCAGAAATAAGAAAATAATGATATTATTACAAGATAAAAAAATATTAAAAAAATACTAGTAGAGGAAGGTTAACTTGACAAATAAAAAGAGAAACATAAGCGAACACAAGTAAAAAATTATCTGCCAGTGCAGCAACCCCAACTGTCAAGGAAAAAAAAGCAAGAGGACTTTTTCCTGTCATTTAGACTATTGAGCCAATGGTCCTTCAGAGTAAAAAAGAATAAAAAAGTAAAAAAAAAAAAAAAAAAAAACTAATTTAGATCAATAGATAAACTTTATGTTCCAATCCTAAATTGTATGTGAAGTAACAACTTGAAAGTTTCTGATGAGATGTTTTCATGCTAAATTATTTATAAATATTGTGTCATTCCATATAACTTTTGAAAGATTAGGCTTTTGGTCTCTATTTTGTGTAAAGTTAATGGTCTTTATAAAAGGTTTTCCATATTAAATATGTTGAAGGAAGGATTGGGTAACTTTGTTTCATTGATGTATTCATTGCTCTTGGTTGTTTTCTATCTCTCTCTCTTTTCTTTTTCCCATTTCCAAGAGAAATTTTCATCCTCCTAACTCTTTGTAATCCTCTTCTCTACATCTGGAAGAATGTATTCTTTTATAAGAAAGCAATCAAAGCACACACACACAACTTTTGCATTGAAAATTTTTTCATTTACTTAAATAAAAATACTATCTCCACCAAAAAGAAAAACAAAATATTATGGCAAAACTGCTCGAGCTTGAGAGCTTTAGTAGAACAATTGAAAAATCCAGAATGTTAAGGTAAAATAGCCAATGAGTTGATAGTTCACATTGCACTGAACCCAGTCTAATAGAACAAGCCAAGATGTGCTTGATTCCATGGGTTTGACCACTTTTCCATTTTCCAGTTATGTAACACTTCCTATATGACCGCGACCAATTCAGAAAAAGACAATTATGATTTGTGAAGATTGACCTAATATTTAATCACAAAGATACTTAACCAATCTCCCAAGCTCTTTGACCTGAATAGAATGCACTGAATATACATCTTAAAAGTCACTATATAAGACAAGGTATTAGCATGTGTTATTGCTAAGCTTTAAAATAGCTCAGAAGTCACAGGTGCACCTCCCCACCATCTTTTCCTTTACCAAGTGCCAAGTCTCGAAATTTTTCAAAGGAAAATTTGTTAGACTCTGAGAATTGCAGCCATATGACATTAAACTCTAAATTAGAATTTCCAGTTTTTTCGTATTTCAGAAATACCACATATCACCATAGTTTAACATGATCTTCACTAAGAGACTATTCTCTAATGTATCTTTGCAGACATCTTGGCCTCATTGTAGTGTGATAAAGTTAGTCTAATAAATTAACTTCATATTGTGTATCACTCCATAGTCCATACTCATTCATTACATCAAGTTTTCAACCTAGGTGTGTACTTATCCCTATATAATGTAGCCTAGAAAAAATCTTCACTCCGTAGTCCATACTCATTCATTACATCAAGTTTTCAACCTAGGTGTGTACTGATCCCTATATAATGTAGCCTAGGAAAAATCTTCGAGACTTAAGTCTTACATTTTTGCTTAAAAATAAAACAAGTTCAACCAAACAAGGTGGAGAATACATTAAAATTTCAGGTACTCATATGACATTGAACTGATAATAAATACATCTTAGCTTAATTAAAGTGTTTTAAGCACGAATAGAAACATGTCTTGTTTTGTAACCAAATGAAAAATGAGATATAATAACATGTTGTGAAGCTCACGAGAAAGTAATTTACCGCGTGTTGTTGAAACAATCCGTGCATACTCGGACATTTGAGTAAATGCCAAATTGTGGCAAAGCCTACATAGAAATATATCACTACATTAGGATTACAATTGCATTAATATCCTGAACCAAAGGCCAAACATCGTACCATTTGATTTGATGAATGTTCACTGCACAATGTTCTCCCACAGGATCGACAGTGATGCTGCATACACATCACACAGAAGCATACAGTATAGTCACTTACCAAACTGGAAATTTTTCACAGTGAACTGAATTTCATGTAAATGGTGCACAACACGAGTTATTAATAAAAGATCAGGTAATTAAACAAGATCATGTAAATGGTCATATCAAGCAATACAAGTTATTTAGAGTTTAATTAATACACAGCATCAGTGAAAAAACATTTTCACAGATACATGATACAAGATTTATTTATTTTACCCGACCATCAAAAACTACTGTCATTTTGTTCCCAACGGGAATTCAAGAGCAACTAATTTGCATCTAAATGTGTTTATGAAGATCCGAAAATCGCTAACCAGAAAGCAAAGTGTGGAGCTTTATTATGTATCTAAAGAGGGGTGCAGAGGAAACATGTTAGAATGAAAAGGGCAATTGCGAAATTGGGAATCTACATGCAGAAGATGAGATGAAAGAGGGTACCCTTCTCCTGAAGGTGTTGAAACCGCAATTGCAGACAACGCATCGCGCTGCTTCTTGGAACGGAGGAGGTTCTGCTGTTGACATGCTTTGCAAATTTTCAATCTCTCTGTGTCTGCTGATCAAATCACAGAGCCCCTAAGAATCAATTCATTGCTCCAGATGGATGATCGGGAACAACACTTTTTTTTTTTTTTTGTTGTTGAAGAGCATTTGAAGATTATGAGTTTTATTGGACCTTTTCTTTCTTGGAAAAAAAAAACTTAATTGGGCCTCACAGCGTCATCAAAGGGCTGCTATTCACAGCCCCTTTTTACTATTCACACCGTTTTTATTAAAATTGATTACTATGTGTACGACAAAGGTGCATTTGGTACCAAGAAATAAAAATCAAACAAGCAGATAAGAGGAGTACACCAAACAAAGAAAGAAAATGACAACTCACACAACTCCATCCATCATAATAATAAACCAGAATAATCCCAAAAAAACACTTGTTAATATATAAACCAGAAAAAATGACTACAAAAAAAAAACTAAAAGTACCTCACGAATTTTTTTTATTGCGAGTCATTATAAAAATTATATATTATATTGAAAATGTTTTAAAATAAATTTTTAGTTTAAAATAATCAACTCTAACTACTCTAAACCAAAAATTTGTCTCAAAACAGTTCCACTTTAATATATAATTTTCATGATGACTCCACAATGGTAAAAAACAGCCAACAATGAAAAGTAGTCGTACCTCACAGTTTTACACTTTAAAAACAAAAATATATCAGTCCCATTGTCCCACCAACAATAGTCAATTTCGTGAATATTGTTTTTTCCTTGTGTCAATGGATTCATAGTGATCCTTTTTTAAAAAATATTTTTAAGAAAATAAAAAATTACTTTTTATATATTTGTCTAAACTGTTTCATTAAAAAATAAACAGTTTTCTACTTTATAACAAACAACTTCTATATATAAGTTTTTTAAAAAATGTTTTTAATATAATCAAATTTTTAAATTTAAACAAACTGACTTAATAAAAAGTTAAAAATAAGACTTTTTTTATTAAAAATATATATGTTATTTACCGGTTATATTTTAAGTGATTTAAATTATTTAATAGAAGGCATTTAATTAGATTTTAAGAGGTTTATATGTACTAATAAAAATGTAATTAATATGTACTATTAAATGCCTTTAAATAAATATGTTATATTAAATATTTAAAATAATTACTTAAAAAATAAACATTGTTATTATTATTTTATTTTATTTAGTTTGATTGACATTATTGATGTTTGAGACTCAGTTTTACTAAATATAGCGCAATTAGCCTCATGTTATACATAATGATAAAAGTATTTAAATTAAACAATATCGTTCTAATTATTTTACATGCTCGGTAGTACTTTAGCTTTATTTGGTGTGTGGGGGAGTGTGAGGGAGGGGATCGGTTAATTCTAAGATAACATATTATAGCAAAGAAACATTAAATGAACAGATGAAAAATAAATGAATCAATAAGAAATTACCATAAAAAAAAATAAAGGATTTCAAAAGAAATGGAAATATTGAGTAAGATTTTTATTTTACAGCAGTGATAAATTAGAAACTAAAAGGAACTAATGAGTAGTATTTATACAAAATTAGTTAAAAAAAATAAACTCTGATAGATTTTTCCATAGAAAAACTCTCTTCATGTTTATTTTTATTTGTCTGCCTATGTTCTTTATTTATTTATAACTTCGAAATATATTAATTATGATCTTTCTACTATTTATTTATTTATTTTCATTTACTTCTTGTATGTTTTATACAAGAGAAATAATAAGACAAATTATATTAAGAGATTAAAAATGATTTTAACATAAATAAAAATAATAAACATATTTATTGATTTATGTGTTATCAAGAATAAACAAATAAATAAGACAGAAGAAAAATGACAAAAAAAAAACATTACATCCTCATCAGTTAATAATTAGAACCAAAATGTATTTCTTGAGTAGTTGAAGGTTAGTTGGTCACTCATCACCATCAACAACCTTTTGTCAAATGTACTCGCAACATTGCCAAAACTTATTCCTTTTACAAATTTCATGAGCAAAACCAATTCAACTTGTTAACATGAAAGAAATTTAAAAAAAAAAATGAATAATTGTCAGCAGATTTGTGTGTTTCTTTTCTTTTCATTTGGATCCTGGCCAGGTGACTTTTTCTTTTGCATCTGATCTATATATTAGGATTAATTTTGTGTGACCCTTACATAATCAAAGGTGAAGAACATAACTTGTGAGAGGCTCCAATAGAATTAACTTTATCAAACACATGGTTATACTACTAAGAGTATCTACCATGGGAGTTGCTTATAAGCAACTCCCTATCACTTTAAATGGGTCTCATTGTGCCACATCACTCATAAGTAACTCATATTATATTTTTATAATTTTTGTTCCAATGAAAATTGTTTATAAGTACCCCAACTTTTCTACAATTTATACTACATTTTTTGACACCTCACACCTCACATTACAATTCATAAAGAAAAGTGAAGAAAAAGAAAACAAAAAGTACAACAAAAGCAGGCAAGCACCGTTGTTTCTGCAAGACACGGAGCTAAAAAAAAATTTCCTTGTTATGCCACGTAAACGTACTCCAATGAGTGTTTCTTGTTGGTGACGGTGCTTATAAATAAGAAACCGGATAAGCACCGTGCGTTAGAGTTGCTCTAAGATACTAGTGTAATTTCAATACTTATACAACTTAAGATTTCAACTTTCATGAGTTTAATATCATCTATTTCTTGCAAGTACATTAATGATAAAATCATTTTTTATATATTTTTTTTTATTAGAGAAAATCATTTCTATACGAGAGAGGAGGATAAATTTCTGAAATACCGCCATATATATTTTAAGTATAAAGATTTAATGTCATGCAGTTACTTAACAAGATATGTGACATTTTAAAAAAAATACATAAACTGTGAATTCTAAGTTCTAACCTGAATCCACATAACTTTAGATAAATTATTATGAAATGCTTTCAATTTAACTATATATTTTAGTTCATATTAATGTGATTTTTTTTATCAACACATAAATAAATATTTGTTATAGTGTGAAGTATTTTATTTGATAAATATGTTACATATTTAAATTTAAATATATTATTAATATTATATATATTAAAATTAAACAATGTAAATATATTAATTAAATGTATCATTTTTTAAATATGATACACAAGCATATTTTAGTTTAGTCCTTTGAATATGAAGTGAATTTATTTTTATTCTTTTATTTTAAATAATTTTTAATCTTCTAATTTTAAAAAAAATATTCATATGAATCTCTTTATTTAAATATATAATTAGTGAATTTATCAAACAAGACTCATTTTTTTTTTATCAAAAATCAACATATTATGTTAATATTCAATGTTTTACAAACTATAAATAATTAGTTAACGGTGACAAAATGTTTAAAATTTTAAAAGTGATGCCAAAATATGCAACTAAATTTTTGGATCTAATATGCTTTTAGTTTTTATTTTTATTTTTTGTTGATTTTCACTTTTAATTTAAGAATAATTTTTTTATTAGTTTTATTCATTAAAATTTTATTGATTTTCAATTTTAGTTTTTGAATTTTTTTTCAGCTAATATTTTGGTACCTAATATCAATTGTTCATAAAAGAAAAATTTAAAAACTAAAACGAAATAAAACTTATTCGATAACTAAAAGTGAAAATTGATAAAAGTTCAAGAATTAAAAACATGTAATGCTAAGTAATTTTTTTTATTAATTGTATACTTATTATCTTTTTTCTTCTTTTCTCAAATTTCAAAAGGAGATAGATGAATATAACTGCTATTTAGAGCAAAACTTCTTCACAATTTTCTCTTTTTAATATTTTAAAAGATACCAAATAAAATATAAATACATTTAACAATTTAGAAACAATTTTTTTATATTTAATAAGCAAAAATAATAATAATAAAATAATATAAAAATACAAAATTAATTTTACGAGAAATTGAGTAACTCTTGAAAATTGAGTAACTAGAACTAGAATCTTCATGAAATAGAGTATATAATTCTCTGATTCTCCTATCTCTTACTGACGTGTCATAATTCTCCTTGGTTTGGATTTGACAGCTGTGAAGAAATCAAAGGAAGAGTTAATTGAAATGAGTTTTATTTTTCCCTTAATTGTGTCCGGAAGAATTAATAGAAGAAAAGGGTAAAGTTGAAATTTGAAGTGAACCTGTGGCTGTGAACATGACGTGCAAGAAGCTGACAACTGTATACTATGTATTAGTAAATGTACTATACCTAAATGAATCAATGCATAAAAAGCTCGTGATTCTTATGATAAACGGGCATGAGGAAAAAGTTGTAATTGGAGCCATGTGGGACCACCACTGCCAATGAAATCAATGAGAGCCTCTTCTTCTTCTTCTTCTTCTCTTTCTCTTCTAAGTGTTCAAGTAACAAACCTTCCACTTCCTCCTAAGCCATACAAACAAATCCACTCTCTTCAACCATGGCTGCTGTCAACCCTTATGTTGATAACATGAGTGATGATATTGATGGACCACTCATGCATTTCTCTGCTACTCGGTCTGTGTCTCTTTCCTCAACATCTTTCTCTATTTCTATCTATATCTATATTCTATTCCCACACCCCTTAACTCTCCATCTTATCTTTCCATATTTCCTTTCTTCTCTCTCCATCTCTTTGCTTCATGCTTTCTAATTCTCTGTTGCTTGGATATCACAAACTATCCGGTTTTAGATTCGCCACCTTTTGTGGGGATTTGGTTCCTCAAAAGAAGACATACATGTCTCAATATGGATTTTGGGTCAATTTAGATAAACTTTTGGATAAGTATTTATCCAAAAACAAAAGATAAAATGTTTTTTTTTCATAAGTTAAATTTACTCATGTACATACCTTGAGTCTAGAGAGGCTATTTAGATTTGCTTTCAACAAGGAATTAGGAAAGTTGAAAAGAGTGTTCAATAGATAATTCATAATTGTTTGTCTACCAACTTTTTTGTTAGGTTATTAAGAATTAGTCGAGGGATGAGAGTAGAGTGAAAGGCTTACGATTTATTTAGATAATTTTTCCTATAAATGTTTATAAGGGAAGAAAAATTCAGATATTTATCTTAATAAGATAAAATTATAAATTAATTTATAAAAGATCTTTTTGAATTATGTATAAATTAATTTTAGTTTATAAATAAATTATTTTGTTTTATTTTTTTCGTTAAAATTTTTACAGAGAAAGTTATCAAAACATACCCTTTTTCCTTGTAAAGGGATATAATAATAATAAGAAGAAAGGAGATGCGGTAAATCTAAAACACAAGATATGTGTCTCATGATAGTGGACTCAAGTTACCGAGTACAGACACATTTTAACCCAAAATAGAGGTAACTTGTAAAGTTCTTATTCTATTCTTTCCCTTCTACTGTGAGACATCTCATATCCGCATATCCATTTGAGTAAACACAAGGCCATTAACTTGATGGATCACCTTTAAGTTCCATCTGCTTGTTTTAAATTTTTGTCCATGTTTATGGCTTTGTTTTTTTTAAAGTAATTCTCTTAATTGATATTTCTTGTGGAACCCTAAACCCTAAACATCAAAACAAAGCATTCTGCTGGAGCAAGGGAGGGAATAAAAATTTGATAAAGAAGATCATGGATTAAGACCAAAATTTTTTGTCTTCATGTTATTCAACTTGAATTCTGATACATATTTTGGTCTCCCAGGCAACATCTTATAGTGAGTTGTTGAGACTTGAGACTTCACAATCAATTCCTGAATTAAGAGTTTACCAATCTAGAGAATATATAATTCTTAAAAAGTTCAAGTTGAATATTACAATCTCCATTACTGAGTGTGTGTTTTTCCCCTCTTACCCTTCAGGCCAGTGGCAGTGGCTTCATCTGGACAGAATGCAGTGACTCCTAGTCCAACTCAATTTTCCATCCTCTATAAGGGGAATATGTGTATCTATGATGGAATTCCTGCAGGAAAGGTAAACTCCTAGCTTATTGAAATATTATGTTACAAATGAATAGGATGGAATGAATAATTATTGATTGATATATATATAACTCATATTTATTAATAGGTGCGTGAAATAATGTTGATTGCTTCTAGCTCTGCTAAGTCTGCTGAAATGAAGAGTGGGATCTCCTTCCCTTCACTCATTCTCACAACCACAAACCCTTCTTCGCCACAGGGAAACTCTACTAATTTATCTTCATCCCAGTTTCCTGCAAAGAAAAGTTCCATTTGCAGGCTGCAAGGTGCTTACTCTCATGTTATTTTACTATACTTAAGTACCGTTAAGATAAATTTCAATATAAGCATTCATAGGAGAAGAAAATAATAAGATAAAATCAACTTATACACCTTACTTAGTTGCTGAGGAAGATAGAGGAGAGTGTTTCTATAAAAGTAAACTAAGTTTGTTTTACCTTTTTATTTTCTTCACTTATAGGTGCTTCGAGATAAGTTGCTCCATGCAAGAGCTTAGATAACAACTTTGTTTTGATGTATTTTGTGTTCACTATTCACCAACTATCTTTCATTTTAAGGCACTGATAGTTTAATTCTTTTGTGGCTTTTGCTTGATATCCCTCTTCAGAATTTCCATTAGCACGCCGACAATCACTTCAAAGGTTTCTTGAGAAGCGAAGAAAGAGGTATTAGCAACTGTCATGTTTAGTGGTATCTCTCATCAGTTAAGAATTTCCAATATTACATTTCATATTACAACCAGTTCTAGCAACATAATATTTTTTTAAAAAAAATTATTGAAAATTATAAATTAAGAATGAAATTTATTATATATGCTGGTTTGTTATTGACTTCGTTTTTGTTTGTTGAATAAAGGTTAGGTACCAAAACCCCTTATGCCTCCCCAGCAACAAAAGCTGTTGACAACATAGACCATAATTTATGTGGTCACAAGACGCCAGATTTTGGTTCCTTGAACTATGAGAGGAGGGATTTCAACCCTGTGTTGCTTCCTCTTTGAGGCAACTAGTGTTGGTTCTACTCCATGTCAAGTGCTAATGTGTGTTATATAGCATGTGCATGCATGTAGAAGCAAAGAATTTAATATATAACTATGTTATGTTCTCGAGACCATATTTTATGCCCACTTAGTGAACATCAAATGTATCAAGTGAAGTATGACTTCAAATTTGGCTTAGTTTGTTTGACAATGCGTAGAAACTAGAAAATACTCATTATGCTTAGAAAATCTGCATTTTAAACTATTATTCGTGGACCTTAATGTTTGTGGGCAATTAATTATTGGTTGTGTTGTTACTTCGAGTTGCTTCCTTCGTATTTTAGGTGCTCTACCATGTACAATTCGATTTTTACTTTATTGTTTAAATGGATAAGACATTAAAAGAAAATTATAAGTATAAAAAAAATCATGTTTTTCAGCTAATTTTTTTTTATAATTGATGAACAAATTTAGTATTTACATTATTCTTTAAATAAAATTAAAAAAAAACGCGTGTTACAATATGATAAAATACTAATATTTATTAACAAAACATAAAAAATAAGAAATAAAAAACACAGCACAGCGTTATGTAGTATTTATTTTTACGAGATGTTGTTCAAGAGGCTAAAGCTATGTATGTGAGACAACTCATTTCGTTCAATGTTTATTTTTAAAATAAAAATAACCAGAAGGAAACAGTTCAGTCATTTATAAGTATATAAATATAATATCGAAAATGTTTTTTTTTTTCGTATTATATTCTCTCATTGACTTATTCAACAGTAAAAACTAATCTCTCTCAAGTCTCGAGTCTGAAGGTGTAATCAATCTTCCACTAAAAAAAGCAAAGATTGATATAATAATCCTATAAAGAACGTATGTTAATGGTACTTAATTGAGTATCTTAAATATTCAATATCAAAGTTTAAAAATAATTTGTTGTTTTTATATTTGCCATAATTGGCATTATAGCATCGCGTCCATGAGATGTATTAGATTATATTATTCTAACACTGTTATTAGATTCTATTATTCTAACACTACTATTATATTCTAATTATACTATTATATATACACTAAATGACACATACACCAAATTTGCTGAAGCATTCATCCTTCCACATGAGGAAAATCTTAACCACTTATTCCACCCAAACAGAGAAATCTTCGACACCCCACTATTTGTCGGTTGGTTCATCATATGAATTGTATATTATGACACCAAAATAGAATATCCACACGACATACCATTCTCAAGATATAATTAATGAGATATATACAAAGCACCTTCCATGACCAAAATAACAATATACCACTTAAGTAATGTATACGAGATATTTTTCCCAATGAGATGATCAAAGCCTTTTTCATGCTAAAATAACGATATCTCGCTTGACGCATTCAACCTAAGAGGAAGTCTTTGCATCATCTGGAGTGTCTGTCTGATAGGATGGGGTTTAGGATAATCCAAAAAACTAAAATTCAATTGTTAAAAAAGTTAAATTATTAGTGTATTCATCTTTTAATGTTATCTTATTTTGTATATTCTAAAATAGGGTGATGACACTTATAGATTCATTCTTAGTAACTAATAGATTGTAAATTTGTATTCCCTTAAGGAACATCAATAGAAAAAAAATAATATTATCTTTATTTATTTTATAGTTTCTTGTAACTCTCTAATAGTAGAAATATAAGAGTAATGATAAAGTAATATTTTATCAATATCATTATTTTATTATAAATAATTTGGGAAAAAGAGTTCCTTTGTGTATCTAAATATTTTTAAAATAAAATAAACAAAAAATATAATAGTGCGAACAATTATTCAAAGTTAGTTAACGATGGTTACTAAAATTATTTTTTCTTAATAATTGAGGGTATAATTGTTTACAAATTGTGGAGAGAAAAAATGGCTATAGGAAGAAGTATTCTCTTTATATATATAATAATTTGGTATCAAAGTTTAACTTATTGAATTATGAATAAATTGCAACATCCTTCGTCACAAAGAGATCTTAATTAATGTATCATAAACATTCATGTATAATAGTTGTAAAATGTTGAACTTTGCAATTAAAGAAGTTTAGTTGTAGGTGTGATAGAATGGGCTCTAAGCCCAAATACAACTTAAAGATTTTATAAGAAGAAGTTAATTTATTTTAAATATGTTATGTTTGTAATTTCTTTTAATTCTTTAACATGTTAATACTTTTAGAGTTGTCATCTAATTAGGTTGATAGTTATAGGTTATATAAGGTAATATTGAAGAAAATGAATAAATTTAGTATTGCTTTCCTTTTTACTAGTTATCTCCTTTGTAGAATTAGGTGTTATAGTGTAATATCTCTTATAGTAGCCTAGCTAACAAGGCTCCATTTCATAGAATTTAAAAATAATTTATTTAAATTTTTGTTATAATATAAATATTTGTGAAAATATTTTATGACTAATTAATAAAATGTTTTTAGATTATTTTCATATATAATTTCTAAGAATGGCTTATTCATGTAGAACTTGGGAAGAGATTAACTATTTTTTTCTAAAAGAAAATATTCATCTTCTAAGAATGGCTTATACATGTAGAAATTGGGAAGAGATTATCTCTTCTTTCTTTTTTTAAGAAAATATTCATCATCAAATATGATAAATGTCCATTTTACTTAAAAATTATGGTTATTTTGACATTTATTTAGGGATGGTAACAAGTGAGGCAGGTATTGATATCTCCATCCCTGTCCCCATTCTCATATCTTATACATCATTATTCCTATATCAACGGGTATGGAATTATCATCCTATATCTTTTTTCCCGTCTGATATTAGGTATATTTGTACCCACTCAAAAATTAATTAAATATTTTTTAAAAAATATAAAAAGTGATTTTTTTAAACATAGAGTAATAACTACAAAATTATATTAATTAATTTTTATTTGAAATAAATTTAAAATAAAATAAGAATTATGTAAATATCAAGTAAATTCTATAAAAAAAATTAACTTTCTAAAAATTTAAAATGAGTACAGATATAAAATATGTATGTATATATCCATTATCGTCCCTATACCCAACTCAATAAATAAGATATTACTCATACTCATATCCAATCAAATCGAATATTCCTCGTTAAAATATAAATCATAAGTTTTTAGTATAAGAATTACTCGTACTTCTACTAAATTTAGTGCTTCATCTTTTTATGAATTTGTATTGCATAAATGGAACGAAACTTCATTATTGTTGGAAGTTGTGAGTTTAAATAGAGGTTAAAAAAGTACTGTCATAGCTAACCAAATGATAAACTTCATTAATCTTCACTAGTTTTGGTTGTATAATTCTTCCAAAGTTTTTAATCAATCGGTATATCCAATCTTATTTCGTGAAAGATATTTTCACAAAAATAATTACAAAAGAATTACGAGTTGTGCTAAGAACAAAAATGATGATGCAAAAAGTAGACCCTTTCATCGCATGGAATTCATTTGCAATAAATCTTTTGCACACTCTTTTAAAGAGACTTGTTCTTAAAGGTACAAACATAAGTTTTTTCCTCCATTCCCCTCCAAACGGAAGTCTGAAACAGGTCGTTCGTAAGTAGCCCATTTCCTTGGATGAAAAACATAATATGAGAACTCTCGTCTTTTAGGGGTACATGATTTATAGGAAGTAAAAACAAGGCATTATCAGCCAAGCAAGTGAGACAACGGCTAGAAATGCTGATTTCTTCTTGAAATGAGAATCCACCAGTCCAAGAACTGCAGCAGACATGCCTACATGAGGGGAATGAAGCAAACGAAAGAATGTATTGAATTAGAATATAAAAAAAAATGTTTAACATAATTTTTTTTTAATTTTAAAAAACTTTGTAAAAATTTAATGATTTTAAAGATTTTTTCAAAAAATTTTATAAGAATGTAATGACTTTTAATATATTTTTAAAATATTTTTTTAATCAAGATTTTGTAATATAAATTTTAATAGATTTGTATTTAAGAATTTATAAGATTTTAAAATATTTTATTAGATTTCAAAGTATAATATAAATGTTAAAAAATAATAATAATATTTCTCCACAAAAATGACAATGAAAAAGAAAATAAAATTAATAAAATTTTCAATCTTTTAATAAACAATCTAGTTTGATGTTCTCTCAGTTTGATATTCTCTTAAATAATAGTAGTTCTTTATGTATAACTCTATGTATTTATATTTTATCATTTATAAAGTTTAAATTTTTAATATTTATTAACTACATATATTTTTAATATATGTTTAAAATTTTGATATTTCAATCTTAAATTTTATCAAAAATAAACATTTATTAAAATTTAACAATTTTAAAAATTAACAATATATAATATTTAATAATTTAAAAATAAATTTAAATATTTAAAAATTAAAAATAAATACTAATAAATTATATATCCATATTGATAGATAAAAATGTAACAAATAAAATTTAATAGTTAAAAATAAATAAATAAATAAGAGAAGTACAAGAAGAAATTAATGAGAAAGTTGAAGAAAAAAAATAGAACAACGAGATAAGAAGACATGAGAAGAGAGAGATAGAAAAAGGAAGGAGAAAGAAGAGAAAATGAGAGAAAAATAAAAATAAAAAAAATCATACAAAATTTCAATAATTTTAATAAAATTATTAGATAATTGAATTATATACAAACTTTTATTAAAAAGTCAAGAAATCTATCGATCAAAATAAATTATTGAAATCTATATGATTTTTAATTGTCTTAATTGAATACATGTTTTTATATTAAAAAAATCAAATACCAAAACTTTTTTATAATTAAAAAATCTTTAAAAATTATTTGAAATCTCAACCCAATACATCTCCTTGTATCATTAATTAATTATATTAATTAATGATAACCATTTCACATTTAGTAACATTAAAGGAAGCAAGAATGCTGCGAGACAGAAATAAACCAAAAGGTAAAATAAAAGAAAGTGGGGATCAACCAATTTTAATATTGTGGTCCGGGTTTCTCTTATTATATTTCTCTTTCACAGCATTGCTGCAGTAACTATGGAAAAATTAAGAACGATTACAACTAAATATGAATTGGTTCAAATACAACTGAAACAGAACAGTGCATACGATAGTAGCCAAAAGCAAGTTCTTACTCGACATCCTTATTTGACAACAAAGGTCAACTACATTTATGACCAACATAAGAGCCATGGATCTACAGGACAAACGCAAGCTTCATTACAAGAGGTTTACAAGATATCCTACGACCTCACCTTCGTTACTTGCGTTCTATTTAATGTGCTCGCATAATTCCATGCAAGTAACCACCAGTCATTATGAGCGACACAAGTGACACAACACCCGCTGGAAAGACCTTCCCTGATTTCTTGAAACGAGAACCCATCACTCCTAGAAGTGCAGCAGATATACCTACATGAGGGGAATAAAGCAAACAAAATCAAATATTTCTTGACTCAAAATATCAATTGTATCTGGTACTTAACTAATAAGCTCAATGCTAGAAACTAATAAATGTATGTATACTTCAAAAGTAATATTTCAAAAATGAACTTGGGTACCCAAACTTAAAGAATTGCGCACTAGATTTCAGAGTTAAAATTCTCTGCGTTTTGTGAGAAACTACACTTTACAACTATAATTATGTATAAGTACATCATAGCCTCCTCCATGTCGCTTTAACAACTTTCAACATTATATTGTTTTGCTTATAAGTAGGTTCTATAAAGGCTTGAATATGAAATAAATTTAGTTATTAATTCTTGAATGAAAGTTCAGAATTCTGGGATAACCAAACAACAGAGCCTTCAGCCTTGTATATTAAATTTGGGTGCTCACTGTTGATAGTGGAGAATAATGACTTTTTTTAGTTTACTGATACTCTCTTATGGTCCTATTTAGTAAGCCACATAGCTTTACCTACATCAACTATCTCACATTTTCCTTAAACCTTGTTCCTCTCAAATACTGTTATACTGTTCCTTAAGTTTAGTTAATCCCAATTTCAAAAATAATAATACATTGTACAGGAAGCTTACTAGAACTTTAAGATGCATATTCAAAAGAACTCCAAAATTTAGACTCGAAGATGTTTCTTCCAGTGTGGATGCAAGTTCAAGAATATGTACACAACAATTATTTTTCAAATGTACTAATGCATTCTTCTTAAAGAAATTTCCTTGCGTGTTTTATGATATAAAGAAAATTCTTAGTGTTATAAAAATAAAGCACAGCAAGAAATGCATCCCTATACATTATCAGATGAGATAGAAGTTTTCTAAGAAGTGCTTTCTTAGACCAATAAGCCGGATATCTTGACTAACTAGTCACTTACCAAGGCCAAGAGATGATGCAAACACCGGCCTTCCAGGTAGCTCAGTATAAATGTAATACAGCAGCGATGCAGACAAACCCCCAGCCAAAAGTGACTTCTGGCTGCCACTCTTGAGATAACCCATTACACCACCCACTGCCAAAACCATAACAAAGATCGTTATGTAAATGTCATAGGAAAAATCATGGTCTAACCAATTGGACATATTATATTGTAAAAAACCTAAATACGTCACTGAGACTCTAAATATAACTAATGCAGGAGCAGCATAAGACCTTATGACTAGAAATCACTAAAATGAATTGCCAGACAGAATAACACAAATCACGTTTTGTATTTTTTTTTTAAATTCAAGTTCTAATAAGCATAATAAAATGCTATAATCTATCTAATTATAGCAATATTCTTATCTGTTTTGGTATAAAAGTTAAAAACAAATTATAGAATCCAACTAGGACTATTCAAAGTATCCCACATGAATCAGTTTCAAGCCCTGCAACGGGCGAAAATTATCCACTAGAGATGAAACTCAAATAGTCAACATCTGAAATAGCAACGATTCAAACATCTTGTCCACGAAAGTTTTCAGTTATCAAGCACTATCCAAAACGCTTTAGGTTGACGGCGACTGCTATGGTTGAGTTAGTCAAATCAACCCTTAAATAACTAAACAAACATATAAAAACAACAGAATGATCGATCTCTAGGGTTTAATTACAATTAGAATCATCTTGTGTTGGCACCTAAAAGAGTTAAAATAGATAGAAGTACCTCCGACCAGTGCAGCGTAAGCTAGGGTGAATTTCTGAGACATTAACAAAGCCATTTTCCTCTTGTTACTATCCGATCCTTCGTCGCCTTTGTTGTTATCACTTCCCCCTTCGCCACCACCACCGCCGCCGCCGCCACCAGAGCCGTTACCGTTTCCGTTTCCGTCGGCACCACCGCCGTTGTTATCGAAGTCGGGTTGACTTAGGTCAAGGGAAGTGGCCTTTGAATCGGAAGTAACAGCACGCGCGTACACGTGCGGAATGGAACGTGCCAAGTAACCAAAATGAGGGGAATGAGAGCGAAAGAAAGAGATATTAGCAATGGGAGTGTGGCATCGACTAATCGATGTGGGCCTAAGAGAGAATGAACGAAGTGTTGAAGAAGAAGAAACACCCAAACCAACTACACCCTCTGCCATTGACCTTCTCGTTCTTTCGATTTCCTTTGGTTTCAATTTTCCAGAACTTTCTGTAATTCTCCCGCACCATTATGTCCCCTTCGGCCCAATTTTAATCCACCCATGCAAAGCCCAAGCCCATAATGCAATGCCCTCACATATTAATTGCTAAGTTGGATAAGGAAAATATAGTTTTTTTTAGTTAACAAATTTATTGGAACATTCAAAGTATACATTTTTTACTTAGTTACATATTTATCCTCTCTCTTTTTTATTTTTTTTCTATGGATATATCAAGTTCTTATCTAAAAATAAAGGAAAAAAATTCTCACATTAAAATTTTAAAATATGATTTTAATGCTTATAGGATACTCTTATTTATACGCTAAAATAAAAAACCTCTTATATGTAGTAACTTTCTATTAAGTTTTACTAGGCATTAAAATTTCACTAAAATTTAATTTTCACTAAAAGCTTACCTAGACAATATAAAAAGTTATATGAACTTATTTAATAAAATAAAATGTAAAAATTACAATAAAAATAAGAAAATATATTTAAATAATTTTTAAGTCCATAAATTAAGTAAATTATTCAACTAAAGTCCAGTCCACCATAATATCTATAATAATTGGTATTAGATTGATTGGACTCTTTAATTTATTATTTTTAAACATTTTTTTATCCTCTTATAGTCATTGGATCTTCTATCAATTGAAAATCATGTTTTAAAATATTAAATCTTGATATATTCATAATATATATATATATATATATATATATATACACGACGAGGGATCAATTTGTTCTAGGAATAAGTCTACCTAAAGTCCTAAATTTACTCCGTTCAATAACTCGTGTTCTATATCAAATTTTAATGATCTAACCGCTAAATTTAAAGTTCTTAATACATAGATCAAGTCCTCAAATTTTTAAAAATAAAAAAAAAATATTTTTAAAAAAATTATGATTATCCGTCAATTTGAATTAATGAAAGAAGTATCAAATGATTTTTAAATTTTTTAAAAATTTGCAGACTTGATCTATGCATTAAGAACTTCAAATTCAATAATTGGATCGTTGAAATTCGATATAAAACATGAGTTATTGAATGGAGTAAATGGATTTCTTCTCTCTC